AATTTAAAACGGGAAAATTTTTAATTATAGAATTTAATAACTAAATTGGTGAATGTTGATAAATGTGTTAAATCAGAAGATATACCAATTATTTTTTAATAATTAATTAATAAAATTTTATAATTATCCTTCATTAATTATTATTTAAATAAACCTTCTTGCTTTCTTTATCTTAGAATAATAGATATTTTTTTTATTTAAAATTTGTCCTAGAGTAATATTTGTTTTTTCATATTTTAAAGGAGACAAACCTTTATTTTCCTACTTTGATTTTATGATTTGTAGAATGGAAAGATCTCACGTCGAGTATAAAAGTGAGATGCTTGTGGATTAAATATAAAGAAGGCTACTCCACCTATAACCAATTGGCTTTAGATTTGATGCAAATTTGTGTTGAGCCCACATGCATAATTTTCACATGGTATCATAGTCTATATTCTGTTATGGGAAACCCATTATTAGCTCACCTAACAAGACCCAAAGTTGATACTAGGTTTATATGTAGAGGCATGTTAAGCCACATGACGAGACTCGACATTCATAGCGAGTCTGCACGTGAGGGGGCGTGTTGAGTAGAAAAATCACATATTGTGGATTAAATAACAAAAAAGTTACTCCACCTATAGCTAATTAGTTTTAGGTTGGATACAAGTTTTGTGTTGAACTCATATACACAATTTTCACATAATTATCTCTTAATTTTAATTATTTATCCTATCATAAAAAGGTCTCATCATTTTTTTAAGGGTAAAATAAAAATAAATACATTAAATGATATCCAAAAAAAAAAAAAACTATCAACTAAATTTAAACTCTCTAAATTAAAGAGAGTTAAATGTGAACTGATAAGAGTACTCTTTATACTCTAGTAATAAAAGTATTTTTTTTATTGTTTAAAAAAATCTCAATTTTTTTTTTTTTATCTTGGTTGCACAATAGGGGTAAACATCTCTCATCCCTTATCTCACCCCACTCGCATGCTATACGATTTAAACTCAGGACTTCTTACTTAAGAAAATAACCACTGAACTACTTAGGTCGTTAGGAAAGAAAAAATCCCTAAATTAAAAATTAAGTTTATTAAAGTTGAACAAAAAAAAAATTTAAAGAGTAAACTTTCATTCAGAGTGAAACGCTAATTTTCATCCATAGTGAAACGTTAATTTTCATCTGGGTGTGCTTACGATATTGTTCATGTCCCTAATCCATTAAAACCAATCTAAGTTCAAAACCCTATTTAGTATATACTGAATATTGTTCGAGACAAACCCATTTTTTAGCCCAAATAATACGTTTTTAATTCAGAAAAGAGTATGGTCAAAAAAACAAAAAGTCAGAAACCACATTTGGCCAAAAAGAAAAATAGAAACCATGCACGCGGCTCATTGTTCATCCCTAATCAAATTAATTAATTCAGATAAATAAGTAAGAATTTGTAAGGATAGGTCCGAGGTGCCAAGCCTTGGACTGCTACAATAATTCCTTTATGACCGAAGTGAAGGATAAATCCAAAGCTTCCTGCTCAAATAGCTGCATGACAGCGACAATGAGCATGCCCGCACCTGATTCCTTATGATGAGTTGCACAACAGTTATGGCGGACATCCTTGCATCTGAATACCTCTCAAATTCCCAGTCCCGGAATAATCGTCTGCATAGACATGTCAGGCTCCGATTATCTTGCTTGGCATGCCACGTGGGTTCCTCATTGGATCCTATAAATACCTCCCACGAGCCACGTCAAAAGGTAATTGAAACCAACCCTAAGCTCCTTCTATCTCTGCTCTAAAGGTAATCCCGATTATTGCTAACTTAAGCATCGGAGTGTCTACCCCGAGTTCCATTTCGGGGCTTTGCAGGTCAATCCGGAGTGCAGATGCGGACTGAAAAGGAACTTCTAGTTTGGTGCAATTACATTGGTGCCGTCTGTGGGAATTCGAACTGAAAGCTTTCTTGTTTCTCTTTCATCATGGTTAACACTCGATCAGTCCGAGCTGGCAATTCATCTCTGCCTCTTGGGCAAGGTCAACTCCCCAACAACCTCCCACCTCAGCTCCCACCTCAGCTTCCACCTCACATCCCAAATATGTTCCCTCTTGTTGATCATGCATAAGGAGGAGATGAAAACCAACCTCATACCTCAGCTCATAACTCAACTTCCACTGCCAACCAAGACGTAATGACAACTCAACTTGCTGTCATGCAACAACAGTTTTCCAGTTGGTACTAGCTCAGCTTTTAGCTAGAAACAATCTTGTTGATCCCCTCATTAATTTACTGAACCCTGCTCCACAACCCCCAGCTCCACAACAGAATCCTCAACCAATTCAGCATGCTCTTGCTCTTAGTGAATCTCAAGGTCAATCTCACATAGCACCAGCTCAGCAACCCCTTCCTGATGATGTCACTAGACGTCTAGACAGCCTAGAAAAGTTAGTAGCTGATTAGTGAGGTGCCCCACCCCCACACCATGCTACTGACTCCATACCTCATCCTCTAAACACCAACATCACATTGGAACCTTATCCCGCTGGCTTCAAAATTCCTCAACTCGAGACTTATGATGGGACGAAGGATCCCAATGATCACATGCATGCTTTCTACTCTTGCATGCAAGCTCAAAACGCCTCTGACACGTTGATGTGCAAGATCTTTCCCTCTACTTTTCGAGGTAATGCTCAAACTTGGTATTACAGTCTACCTCCAAGGTCAATCAGCTCTTATACAGAAATGGCATCTACTTTTGCCACTAAGTTTTCCAGTAGAAGGTTGATCAGAAAACTACTTCTGAGCTGATGCGAGTCAAACAGAGGGACGGAGAATCTCTGAAGAATTACATGAGCAGGTTTAATGATGCAGTATTGGAGGTTAGTTCCTTCGACCAAGCTGTAGGGATTGCAGCTGTGATCCCTGGTCTTAACCATGACAGGTTTAGAGACAGTTTGATCAAACATCCTGCCACCACCTTTAGCGAGGTGAATGATAGGTCTTTGAAATTTATAACTGCTGAGGAATATGCCCTAGTGCAGAACCCAACTCCCTCTAAGAACCAAAACCCAGAATGGAGAGATGACAATCCGAGCAAGAAAAGGATGAGGATGGCACAGAATCGAGGTCCGATGTCGACCTCCACACCGAGATTCGAAAAGTCGAACTCAACACCCCCGCAACAATCTACAGGTAAACCTTAAGTTAATTGGACTCCTTTTAATTTGCCAAGGTCACAGATTTTTATGCAGATCAAGAATAAGATGGATTTAAGGCATCCTGGCCCAATGAAGACTACCGCTGCTAGCCGAGATCATACCAGATATTGTGATTTTCATCAAGATCACGGTCATACTACAGAGCAGTGCAACAGTTTAAGGTCCGAGCTAGAATGCCTAGCTCAGAAGGGAATGCTGAATGAGTCAGAGAGCTGAACAATCGAGATTTGTCACAGAATAGAGGCCACAGCCTCAAGGAATCTGATGAGCTAAATTTAGATACATATTAATAAGAAATTTTTACTTTGATATTATTGATATTTTGATGAGTTTTATGGGATTTTGTTTGATTTTACATGGTTTTCATTCTTTGTGTAGGAAAGGATTTAATTGGAAGAAATCATACTTTTCAGAAGTAAATTGAAGAGATCAGAGACTTGAGGATCAACTTGTGTAGAATCCAGAAGTCAAGAACCAAATCTGCTATTTTACCATTGAAGAAATTGCAAAAGGAAACCAGAAACCGGACACGGGTTTAGTGTCGACACATGATCGGGGTGTCGACACCATGCGTTAAACGTCCAGAATCAAATTCTGTTTCCTAGTTCCTGTCAACATGTAATCTGAAGTGTCAGCACCACGCGATCAGCATCCAAAATTCAGTTTCCTATTTGTATTCCAAGTCCTACTTTTATTTCAATTAAGGTTTCTAAAATCCTATAAATACCCATCCAAATTCAGAATGGAGGGAGTTTTGAGAGGCTAGTAGCAGCCCTCTTTTGGGCATTATTAGAGATCAAGATTGAGGTTCTATCAACAATAGAAGATCAAGGAGTTCAATTTCCTCAAATTGGGTTTTGTTTTTCCTTAAACATTCTTATGCTCATAACTTTGATTTCATATTTTATTCTTTTTATTATGAACTGATTTATTCTACTAGGGCTACGATGTAGCCTAATCAATTTAAAATGGATTTTGTGATTTTATGTTTTCAATTAAAGTTATTTGCATGAGGAATTTATATTATTGAACTTAATGCATTGGAAGTCTGATCACCTTTCGATTGATTTAATGATTTATGCATGAACTTGAGAAAGAATTGCATAGATTAGACCAATAATAATATAAATCATGTGTTAGACTATGAGTCCGAGAGGTAATTAGCTCACATGTGGTAGTGGAGGAAGAGAAAAGAGTTAATAGCTCCCCCTTCTTAAGTTAGAGGTTTCTATAGAATTTAATGCTCATAAGTTTGTTTAAAATTATATAGAGATATGATTAATTTAACAAACAAGTGAAGGATTAACTTGACTTGAGAAAGCTAGTTAATTAATTTAGGGAAATCCGCCTTCACATGCAATAACACTCAACAATTTGGTAATTCAGAATTTATATTGATTGATTATGGTGAAGTCAATGCCTTAGTATCTCATATCTTGGTTAGGTTTAATTTAATTGTTATTTTCCTTTTATTATTTTTTTAGTTAAACTTTCTTCCCATTTGGTTGTTCAAATAAATTTGGATTAATTATTTTGGTACTTAGTTAGACACAATCCTCCTGGGTTCGACACTCTTCTCATCATTATATTACTTGGAGCGACTAGTACACTTGTTAAGGTGATTTTAGTGCATCAAGTTTTTGGCGCCGTTGCTGGGGATTGTTGATTTAATTAATATTGAAATTGGTTAATTCTAGATTTAATTTGAACGTTTGCTTTTCTTTTATTTCTTTACTTTGATTTTTTTTTTTTTTGTTTCTTTTGTTTTTGTAGGTCTAACTATGGATCCAGTTGTCTTAAACACTGATGTGGATTATCAATGGCTTGCGCTGGAGATGAGGGCACAAGTTGAAGCAGTAACTATCTTGCTAGCAAAAATTGACGATGATGAACTTGAACGATTTCAAGCAGTCATTGAAAGGATCAAATTAAAGAAGGCTATAGTAGAACAATTAAATATCACTTGTCAATGGTGTGGATGTGACCATTTTAGTTCTGATTGCTATTTTAAACGATCTAACAAGTGTGTTGATTTTTTTGGTGATTTTCATTGCCTACAGTATAATTCTTATCCCAATACATGCAATGTTGATCCAAACACCTCATGGAATAATGAAGATATATTGGAGCCACAATCAAGGTTTCAAGCTCAAGAAGAGGAGTTGTGTTTGGATAAAAACTTAGAAACTCAATCAAGTCATTTGCTCAACTTAGTTGCTGAAGAGATACAAGGTGAGTTACCTAGTGCAACACTGAAAAATCAAGAAGAAAAGGTAACCACCTTACCCTTGGAGATTGGAGGACAACTTGGAGAAGTAGAAATTATGCCTGCAGAAACTAAACAAGAGGATGTCCCTAAGGATGAAGAGGAAAAAGCTTAGGTGTCATTTGAAGTGTTCAATGGGGAGTCTCCTTTAACCAAATCTGATTTTAATTATTATTTTGTTATTGATATGATTGATGAGATTTTGCAAAAAAACACTTATGAGGATTCATTTGAGATTTACCTAATTCAAGCAAAAGACTCAATCAAAGAATACATAAATTACTTGAACACATCATCTTCCTTGGAATCAAAGGGGGCACTCTTAGAAGAATTGGGAAGGCACATCTGCTGGCCTAAACCCAAACCACCTCAAAATAGTCATTGGAGAAAATCTTATGGTGGATTCAACATAAGGGCAAGAAAGCCAAGATTTAAAAAAACGAGAGGACATGCCCTACAACCTAATCCAAAACCACCTTGGAGTGGTAGAAAGTCTAGCTAATGACTATAAATTCAGCGCTTCTTGGGAGGCAACCCAAGCATAAAATTTTTCTTTTCTTTAATTTATTTTTCTTTTATAGTTCAGATTTTCTTTTAATTTTTTTCTTTTTCTCTTTATGGCCTGGGTTGACGCACAATTGTGGAGAAATTCACATCTCACTAAAAGGTGAATTTATTTGATTAGTTGAGCATTTTAGCTTATAACTTGTTATTCTTTGATTTTGGCCAGGTCATTGAACAAGTTTGGGGGACGAGATTATGGAAATTCACATGCTTAAAATCTCCAATTGAAAGAACTCAACTTCAGAACTTATATTTTCAAGTGCAAAACTTGGGAAGTTTCTCTTTTCTCTTACTTTTATTTTACATTGAGGACAATGTTTGATTTAACTCTAGAGGAGAGAATAACTTTTAGGCATCCATTCTTACATTAGTTGCATTCATATTTGCATGATATACATTTTTTTA